TCGAATTTCTCATCACGATTTTTCTTATTAATACATGCTCCTCTCTGTTTGTTTTGACTACTAACCGAATTTGCATCCTAGGGACAATGAACCATGCTAAATTTCATTCATAACTCCTTATCAAGTGATAATCCAGGTTGCAGTAAGCTGTCGAGAAACTGGTGAAATAACAACTTCATTAAGAGAATTTTATGTATGAAATATTCTCTTCAACTGAAAATGTGAAGCATTTGTACAAGAACATTATTCTTCATGGGGAAATGAGTAGTTTCTAGCACACGAAAATGATAATTACGTCAACTCTTTTATTCAATCATTAATAGACGTCATGTTAGTAACACTGGAAGCATTTTAACGCAGATATTTGGAATTAACTTGAACAAAGTCATTCATATGAACTTGGTGTAGTAGTCAACAAGCTTATTCAATGATAATTAAATGGAACTCAGATACTGCGGTGAAATGTAATTCCATATGACATTCGCTTACTTGGTATAACATACAATGATGGTACTATTGACTGGATTATGTTTGCAACACGAATTATTACCTTTTCAGCCAAAATGTCGCTACAGTGGTCTATAAAAGTTGACCGTAACAACTGGTGAGTCGGCCAATTACATTCCTTTATTTCATGGAAAACTACTTTCTTAGGAGAAATACAAAAACCTCATTGGTCTATTTAACAGTTGCTAGGGTTGCCTTTAAAGTCATTTGGAAAAACCATGAGAATCGTTCGAATGTCAACCCAATATCTCACTTTATAGAAAATAATACTTAGTTTACGTCTTGTCCAATTATAAACACACTAGGCATGTGAGAGAAAACAAGGAAACAGCTAACGCATAAACAATTCAGACCTTACATTTCATTTGTATGCACTGGATGTCTTGCGTAATAGTTAACTAGTGCGTGGAAAAGACATACATGGACATATCTCTATTTCAACCTATTATTATTATAATACAGGACACCTATTTCGTATGAACTAAACTCAGGCGACACACTTTTGTTTGTTAAGTCACCCAGTTGATCATTTTCACACTGTACTCTGTCCAGATCGGCTGGAAAAAAGTAACTTAATGCCTTAAAACTAACATTTCTAGTAGAATGTACAGCACCATACATAAGGTTGATAAACAAGTTATCCTATTAGGCCAATAGCTGACTGTAGAAGCACACTAACTATGAGTTATCTAAATACTAAGCTACTATACTATACTAAGTCATATTAAAAATCGCTTGATATCTAGGCTCACCAACTCATTTAATTTGAAACACAGACTAAATAATCAGACGAAGGAGAAATGTTGGTCAGTTTTGGTGTGACGAGCCTCTGTACAAACATACCAGTATAAGTATGGTACTTAAGGCAGTCAAAAATGAACTAAAAACTGATCATAAATTCAGTAATAGAACTCAAGTTTTTACTGTGAAACTATGTTAGGCATACAACTGCGTCTAACCTCTACGGTTTTCTAATTTCAAAGCAAGATATATAGACAAACAGAAAAAGTAGTAATGAGATCTGCAGTATCCCCCGATATAAGCAAACATACTCATAAATAGGAACAAACGATATTAGGAACATTCCAACCCAACCTACCGCACATCCCAAAACAAGTATGGTCGCCATATATATATATATATGACACATTTACTCTGTTCAAATCAAAACATCTGCAATCTTTCCGCACACATTAACTGCATGGTAGATGCATTCTAATTCACTTGTGAATTAGTAAATAAAGGAGAATTACCGATATTCGATTTCAAAATCAAGAGGAGAGAAGATGGAAGCTTGTATACCAGTGTTTAAAGGAAGCCCTAGTGGAACATAGGGCTTCCTCTTCACATCTACTATACTTTGTATTGATCACCTTCTATGATAGCCACTATCTATTACTTATCAGCGATCTGAAACTCTTCCTCCAGTTTATCATGTATTTTTGCTCTGTGCTCGGTTGTGACTATTTATTCAAAAGCTTTCGAAACTCAGATACAACCTATTCCACTTACCTTACATTACTACTAGACTTCTGAGAAGTACAATCCATCTTACGCTGTATCTAAGTGTCCAGAAAGTTGAAATTTTCATCACTCTCATAATCTGTTACAGTCTTTCTTCTCACTGCTATCTCATGTTCTGTTTAAGGCTTTTGTACGAATTCTCAGCTGGGTTGTTTTTTGTCTGTAACAACTTATTACGAATGTGTCAACTGTATGAATTCTGAGAAGTCGTAAGAAGATCATCAGCCTAACCCATATTTTGAGGTTTTAATTGTGGTAATATTTTCAATAATTACTATTAACTAATGTTGATTAGGCCTAGTATACACCAACGATAACGGTTAACATCCATAAAAACTGTGAACAACTCTGCTCGGTTATTGTCCATGGTAGATTGGTTATGAAAAATGTGCAAATTCTACGCTGAAGATTTCAGTCAGATACCTTTCATTCAATGTTTCTGGACAATGAATTATTCAAGTGAAGTAAACTATGTTTGTTTGGTTGAAATGAAAGTTTCTGACATGAGGAAATGTTGATCAAACAGTGAAACTCTATATGGTACAGTGTTGAAGGTGGAGAGATAGAAATTCCCCGAAGTTGACTTCGGTACTTCAATGGAATTTCTTCAGACTTGTGACTAGAAATGCTTATTAACTCGTGTTGATTTTTCGAAACTTCCTTTCTGAAGTATGATTCATATAAACAGCTTCTTTTGTCTGATTTCCTCCACTGAGTCTTTAGTACGCATCTAGACTCAATCGAAGGATTCTGAGGTGGGCCTGGAGAATAGAATCTAAGCAGTAGATGGCTCGTTAAATCAAATTGTTGGCATTGTTTATTGATACTTGTACTTCCCTGTTGCCTACCAGGTGGAATTACTTGACCTCTGTTAGCAGATGGGCTCCTTAGGGGATGCCTTGATTATTATTATAATATTTATTATTATTAGTCCCTTGGGTTCCTAATGGAACATAGGGCTTCAATAGTACGTCTCCATTCCAGTCTGTACCTGAAATCTTTTCAACCTCCTAATGAGTTGTTGTTCCCCCCCCCCTGGAATTGCTACTAAAATACACTATGAATGTTTAACAATGAAATATATTGACAAGTAGATGGGATTACAATGGGCTATCATCTGGGTCCTATGCTAACGGACGTCTTTTCGGCCAAACTTGGAAACGACGCACTCAGGGACACACTTGATAAACTAGGTTATTATTGCCGGTATATAGATGATACGTTCATCACTTTGTAATAATGGCTACAACAAAGATGATCTTTTGAATACCTTCAATAATGTTCACCCAGCTATGAAGTTCACCTACAAGGAAGAACAACGGAATAGTATTTCTTTCCTAGATATCCTCCTCATCACGAAAACAGATAGGTATATAAACAGGAATATTTTTCGAAAGAACATATGGACTGGTTAATATATTCACTTTCGTAGCTTCATATCGATTCAATATACAAGAAAACTGGTCATTTGTCTAAGGTTACAAGATAAGAAACATTTATTCTCATGACTGTATTGAAGAAGAAATGAATAAGCTGAAGATAACATTCCAGCAAAATGGTTATCCACTAAACTTCATAGATAAACACGTGTCGAAACTTAGAGAGAAGATGATCAAAGACAATGTTGCTAAGAGGCCTATATATCTTAGACTAAGTTTCAAAGATGATATTGCTTCGGATATCTTAACACATCGATTAAGTAGATCAGTCAAAAAGACATTCAATCCAGCGAAACATTTTGTCAGCTTCTCAAGCAAACTATTACCGACACAGTGAACCAAGGATAGGTTATCAATGATGGTCACTTCAATGTGCATTTCTGAGTTCAATGGCTTCTGTGAAACTACTTACATACACCATACTCATAGGGCTCTATCCAGGCACTCGTGAACACATGCCACCTTGGTTAGGCAAAGGAATGACGAAGAGCATCAATAGTGCAATCCTCTCACATCTATTTGATACTGGATATGAGATTAAGGTAGATGACACCTTTTCTGTGATATACCGTGTCCCCTGTTATCTCCCCCTAAAGCTGCACGACTTCGCATTTTATCCATAGCCGAAGCCACTGGGGTCAATACAAGAAAACAGGATTTATGTGTTCAAAAGAAATATGTAAATCCACTTTGTTTACCTTGCCCCACAATAGGGTCGACAAGTTCTGTGTGAAATTTCCTACCACAAATTGCATATTTCAACCCCACCCCCACCCCCACTCCTTTCTTCTATATTGTTATTACTTTGATAAACATTCACTTACTTATGTGACTAGTTTTACGCTCTGCTTTATTCATACCCTCGGTAACGGTAGTTATTTTCACCCATGACGTAACATTTCACGTTTGTTATCCTCTATTCCCTTATAGGATTCATATGATTTTAATCCCACCTGAATATAAGTCATCACTACATAATTATCATTTGACCCTTAACTAAATCAATAAACACAATATTCATGTCACAGTTAATGTATGTAAATGAATCATTATCTCTCATTTGATCATAGGAAAAGACAAGAAGTGGTTTCAGTGAAGAAAATCTTTTCTTTTCGATCAAGTCATTTACTACTACTAAGCTGTACATTAGTGAATTTATGTTACAGTGGATAGAATGTTCCAGAGTTGTTTCCGATCAGGGTGGGGAGCAAAATATATTGAATAATGAAAGGAAGTTAATTAATACAGATTTGTGTTTAGAGTAAGAAAAATAGACAGGATTATAAAATTAAATGGAATTACGTAATACAGGATGAATGTATGACAAATTAGGAAAGTGAACGAAGAGTTAATGAAGACAGATACCGGATAAACTTATGACGACAGAGTATGAGAAGAAACAGGAGATCATGAAAATGAGATTATGATTACATAATGCATTACGTAAAATGGGTCATTGTGAATAAGGAAAGAACTGATATGAAATAGTGAAATATACGTTAAATGTTGTCAATGGAGTGTGAAAATTGGTGATAATGATGATGATGATGATGATGATGATGAAACTAAAAGAGAAGTATGCCATAGTGAAGTGAAATGAAATTGACAAAATAACCAACAAGGCCAATGTGAAGAAAGTGGTTTTGATAAAACGTTTTTCAATGTAGTTTCCGTTCTTATTCATGTATAGCTAATCCTTCAGGTCTATGCATAAGTGGTGGAAAGGTCAATCTTTGGAGTAGTTCAATTTAACTTTATAAATTATCATAAAGGGGGACTGTTGACGAGCTGAATCACCTTCATTACTAGGTGTTCACATATGGATGAAGTTGTAGTTAGCTAGCGTTTGGTAAGTCAAACTGAGTAATTTTCAGTAACACTTTTTCAGAGGACCCGCTTACAAAGTCGAATATAGTCAACTTCACAGAAGTATGTGAACCTTTAGATGTAGACATAAGTGGTAGCCTATCCTTTACACACTTTCGAATCAGACGGCAGATGGAGAAAATCGGTCTCAGTCTAGCAGCATAAAAGCTACTATTGATACACCTTGATAGATGGTTTTTCAGCACTTCAGCTGTGATGTCTCCTTTGAATTCCACATTCATGGTTAAGATTTTCTTAGGATGAAGAGTGATTCGTTTCTTCAAAATTAATTCATTCGATGTTTTAGGACATCTGTTATTCGATAGTGTTGTTCTAAGAGTTTCAATTTCAACACCCACCCTTGTCTTCTGAACACATTTTATAGATTCTGGAACCCAGTGAGTGAATGAGATTTCTTTTACAACTAAGAGGTGGCCAACCATTAAAGTTAGTGAACTGGTCGATCCAGGTTGATTTTCGATAGACTAACCTTTGAGTCTAGCCATCATCACTTCCCTTTAACGCTACATCCAGTTACGTTTTACACATTTCGCTCGTCAATAAACCTAGTGTCTTAATCTATCAATTTTAGAGGATTATCGGTTGCTTAATGTATACGATTGCGACATTTTGTCATGTCTTCATAACCTTCGAATTTCTCATCACGATTTTTCTTATTAATACATGCTCCTCTCTGTTTGTTTTGACTACTAACCGAATTTGCATCCTAGGGACAATGAACCATGCTAAATTTCATTCATAACTCCCTATCAAGTGATAATCCAGGTTGCAGTAAGCTGTCGAGAAACTGGTGAAATAACAACTTCATTAAGAGAATTTTATGTATGAAATATTCTCTTCAACTGAAAATGTGAAGCATTTGTACAAGAACATTATTCTTCATGGGGAAATGAGTAGTTTCTAGCACACGAAAATGATAATTACGTCAACTCTTTTATTCAATCATTAATAGACGTCATGTTAGTAACACTGGAAGCATTTTAACGCAGATATTTGGAATTAACTTGAACAAAGTCATTCATATGAACTTGGTGTAGTAGTCAACAAGCTTATTTAATGATAATTAAATGGAACTCAGATACTGCGGTGAAATGTAATTCCATATGACATTCGCTTACTTGGTATAACATACAATGATGGTACTATTGACTGGATTATGTTTGCAACACGAATTATTACCTTTTCAGCCAAAATGTCGCTACAGTGGTCTATAAAAGTTGACCGTAACAACTGGTGAGTCGGCCAATTACATTCCTTTATTTCATGGAAAACTACTTTCTTAGGAGAAATACAAAAACCTCATTGGTCTATTTAACAGTTGCTAGGGTTGCCTTTAAAGTCATTTGGAAAAACCATGAGAATCGTTCGAATGTCAACCCAATATCTCACTTTATAGAAAATAATACTTAGTTTACGTCTTGTCCAATTATAAACACACTAGGCATGTGAGAGAAAACAAGGAAACAGCTAACGCATAAACAATTCAGACCTTACATTTCATTTGTATGCACTGGATGTCTTGCGTAATAGTTAACTAGTGCGTGGAAAAGACATACATGGACATATCTCTATTTCAACCTATTATTATTATAATACAGGACACCTATTTCGTATGAACTAAACTCAGGCGACACATTTTTGTTTGTTAAGTCACCCAGTTGATCATTTTCACACTGTACTCTGTCCAGATCGGCTGGAAAAAAGTAACTTAATGCCTTAAAACTAACATTTCTAGTAGAATGTACAGCACCATACATAAGGTTGATAAACAAGTTATCCTATTAGGCCAATAGCTGACTGTAGAAGCACACTAACTATGAGTTATCTAAATACTAAGCTACTATACTATACTAAGTCATATTAAAAATCGCTTGATATCTAGGCTCACCAACTCATTTAATTTGAAACACAGACTAAATAATCAGACGAAGGAGAAATGTTGGTCAGTTTTGGTGTGACGAGCCTCTGTACAAACATACCAGTATAAGTATGGTACTTAAGGCAGTCAAAAATGAACTAAAAACTGATCATAAATTCAGTAATAGAACTCAAGTTTTTACTGTGAAACTATGTTAGGCATACAACTGCGTCTAACCTCTACGGTTTTCTAATTTCAAAGCAAGATATATAGACAAACAGAAAAAGTAGTAATGAGATCTGCAGTATCCCCCGATATAAGCAAACATACTCATAAATAGGAAGAAACGATATTAGGAACATTCCAACCCAACCTACCGCACATCCCAAAACAAGTATGGTCGCCATATATATATATATATGACACATTTACTCTGTTCAAATCAAAACATCTGCAATCTTTCCGCACACATTAACTGCATGGTAGATGCATTCTAATTCACTTGTGAATTAGTAAATAAAGGAGAATTACCGATATTCGATTTCAAAATCAAGAGGAGAGAAGATGGAAGCTTGTATACCAGTGTTTAAAGGAAGCCCTAGTGGAACATAGGGCTTCAGTAACACGTCACCATTTCACTCTCTTCTCTCCAGTCTTCAAAACCTGCCTCCACCACTGCCCACAAGCTCTCATTTCTTCCTCACACCATCTCCATACATAATAAGAGATAATTTGACTAGATTATAGTAGGAATTTAGAAGCGGGTTGCGCAAACAGAAAAAGGCTGATGACAGTATTCTTTTGAACTCCTTAACCAGGTTTCAGACGTTTGATAGCTATAGCCTTAGAAAACGTATAAGACGTCTACATTATTTCCTGTATAACTCAGATGTTGGGCAACTGTTCTGCTGAAATTGTTTCTTCGTCAGTCGTAAGCTTTTAAGAATATGTTCAGAAATCTCAACGTGGTGTAATCCTTTGTACCTATATATATATAAACTGATATAGGCATTTCGAAGAAACAAAAAATGTATTTGTCCAGTTTTGACTACAGCAATGAGCATATTCGATGCAGTGGAACCAATTTAGATGCAAGGTGGTTCTATGTAGGGCATTAATATAGGTGCAAAACTTGGGCACTGTGGTAGAATTTAATTCCATATTACATTTGTTTATTTCATTTATAACACAGTGAGTGATATAGTATTATTTACTTGATGACATTTTGAGCATATATTATTACTGCTCATAATCATATCATATGTAATCACACTATTTTCGACATTTGATTTTTACAGTTACGTCAGTCACCTCATATGAGTTGTTTTTATTGGTAGTAAAATTCTCCATATCTCTGGTATTGGTGTTGCATCATTTCTATTACATGTGTTGGATGCTGATTCGCTGAACAAAGATTCAGTAATCAATCTCTCTCTCTCTCTCTCTCCACCTAATTATCTTCGACTTAAGTACAGTGGCTTTATCCTACCCTATTGTGTGGCTGTACGTTAATGCATGTAATCCAATAGCCGGGTTTTTCTTCTAGATTATTGATCTTATTTAGGTCTGTCATTCTACATTTAGTTAAATTCGTATGTTCGGCTATTCTAACTGGTTCTATCGGATTTTTAAGCCGACAAAGCTTATTTCTGAGTGAGTTTGTAGGCTTGTATTCCACCCTAATTTAATTCCAGCTTTGTTGAGAATCCTACATAAGGTTTCTAATATACCTTCCTTGTAGGGTAACACAATGGAGGCTGTGAACTCCTTTCCACTTGTGTTGTCATTGTTATTCGTACTATTATATTATTATTTGTCCCTTGGGTTCCTAGTGGAACATAGGAACATGGCTTCAGTAACACGTCACCATTTCACTCTCTTCTCTCCAGTCTTCAAAACCTGCCTCCACCACTGCCCACAAGCTCTCATTTCTTCCTCACACCATCTCCCCCATGTCAACCTCGCCTCAGATCCCCAACTCGTTGTTTCCCCCTTTGGCTTCCACTCGAGGGTTTGACCTGGCCCCGCACCCGCCTGACCCGGGGCGTTGTGATCCCAATCCGTCCGATCACTGTATGCCCAATTCAATCCATCTCCTCTTTCCTCTTCTTCTTCTTCTTCTTCTTCTTCTTCACATCTGTTGGGCGACGGGTTGTTGGTTGGTTCGTTGCCAGCCATAGTGAGTTCCTTGTTGCTTATTCTTTCTGACCATTTGATCTGATCTTCAGTATCGAGTGAGTGTAGGCGGTAGCTGTTGATGATGTATATCTGCAGTCTGTTGGAAATGCTTTTCGTGACGGGCCAAGTTTGTGAAGCATATAGAAACTCTGAGTTACTTGAATGAGTTAGTGTTGGAAATCTGGATCTTGTCCACGCTTAATGCTGAGTGCAGTGCAGTGCAGTGCAGTGCAGTAGATCTCCACACTGATTTATTTCAGGTTAATGCAGGAAGGCATGTCTTGCTGTATTTCCGATCCTGGCTTTGACATCCTCATTATTCGTACTAGTGCTACTAATATTGTTTTCGTTTCGTTTCTTGTGTGTTCGTACGAATTTCCTAATTAACTGCGAAGGATAATTATTAACTATTAGCCCTTCTTTTACTTGTTTCAATTTCTTTTTTAGGTTATTGCATTGACTAGTCAGTTTCCTAGCTCTGTCACTTAGATATTTGACTAAGCCTGCCTTAACTGACATTGGATGGGATGACTTGAAGTCTAGATACCTGTTGGAATGTGTCAGTTTTCTGTAGACTGTAGTATCCAAACCACCGTCTGTTCCTCATTTTCATCTGCGATCCAACATTTGTAACTATCCTTGCTCATTTTCTACCTCATATGTGAATTTGATTGTGCCTACTACTGAGTTTATATGTGTAAGGAAATTCTCGATATGTTCCGATTTCAACACAGTAAATATGTAGTCCACATATGGCCACCATATTTTTGGTGCAGGATCAAACGTTTGTCAAGCCGCGTTTTCCCAACTGTCGGTAAATATATCTGCTACGATCGGGGATATTTGTGGTCCCATTGCTACTCCTTCTGTTTGTCTGTATATTTTGTCCTGAGACTTGAAGAATGTGGAGGTCAGGCAGAGCTGTACGTTTAATATGATCTCATCAACCGATATCTTAGTGCTATGAGTAAGTTCTATATTGTTGTCATTCCGTAGATTATTCAGAGGTAATTTTCACGTTTTGTTTAGTTTCACTGTCTGTTGTTTTGTGTTTTCAGTGTTACCACTGTTTTTAGTCTATTGTGACTTACCCTGAATTATCGAGCCTAAAGTTGAAGCGGCTGTTGTTATTGGAATTTCCTCTTCACATCTACTATACTTTGTATTGATCACCTTCTATGATAGCCACTATCTATTACTTATCAGCGATCTGAAACTCTTCCTCCAGTTTATCATGTATTTTTGCTCTGTGCTCGGTTGTGACTATTTATTCAAAAGCTTTCGAAACTCAGATACAACCTATTCCACTTACCTTACATTACTACTAGACTTCTGAGAAGTACAATCCATCTTACGCTGTATCTAAGTGTCCAGAAAGTTGAAATTTTCATCACTCTCATAATCTGTTACAGTCTTTCTTCTCACTGCTATCTCATGTTCTGTTTAAGGCTTTTGTACGAATTCTCAGCTGGGTTGT